TTTTTTTTTTTTTTTTTTTTTCATCACTATTACAAGGAAAAAATTACGCGTCGCTTGTTCGTAAGCAAGTAAATATACATTTGTACTTTTGCGCATTTTGTGCATTTTCATTTTTGTACGCTTTTATACATTTGCATTTTTGTGCAAGTGACCCTTTTGAGCATATGGTTGTATTACGCCCCTGCCTGTCCCTCATATGGATAACCTCCAGGACTACGTGAAAAGCCTTAAGGAAAAGAGCCTTTACAAGTCGTTCAAAAAAGCCCATAAAAAGTACAAGTCACGTTTCTTAGGCAAGGTATGGGGATAGAGCAACTGGGGGAGCCAAAAAAACAGAGGGGAAAAAAAAAAAAAACAAAAAAAGGGAAAACAAAACACGATAAATAATGTTGACCCACCAATACCCCCCTCGTTCCTCCCATTGTTTGCACATTTCGTTTTACACCTGCGGGGAATGTCTCATTTGGCAAATGTGCTGGCAGTGAACGCTACACTTGCATGTTACACTTGCATGTTACACTTGTATTTTATTCGTGTATGTCTACCCATTTTGTGTACGTCCTCTTCCCCCCCCCTCAGATGGCGAGTAACAGAAAAATAAGCCAAAAGGTTGACGCCTTTGATAACAACATAACGCAGCGAGGCAACGTGCCGGCCTCCTTGGTCAAGAAGGAAAAGAAACATCCTGTGGGGCCCATACTTCTCGTAATTTTTATTTTTGTCGTTATTGGATCAGGTAAGACATGTTGGCAGACTCACCTGTGAGATACACGCATGAGTGAAGATTACATATGTCTGCACAACATCATTTTTTTTTTTTTTTTTTTTTTTTCCTCATACCCATACGCAGTTATTATCCAAATGTTGAGCATGATACAAAAGTCGAAATCGTTTAACTGAAGTCAGCTCGATTTTTTTTTTTTAACGTTGGTACTCTTCTCATTTTTGTGAAATGAAGGAGGATGATCAGTAGGATGATGATGATGATAATGGTGATAATGGGCCGTCTTAGGGTAGAAGCATGTTTCTATTTTGCAGTGCGTCTTGGGGGTATTTTTTAGAACCCCAGAAAAGGGGAGAGAAGAAGAAAAAAAAAAAAGAAAAAAAAGTGATTGAAAAGGAGAAAAGGTGTACGTGTAAATGTACACCGTGCATATTTTTCCTTTTTTTTTTTTTTTTTTTTT